TTTAGCTTCAAAACTCCACTCATTGGCTGTCAACATCTTGGGAGAGTTAGACTGTAGTGGAGCAAATGATCTTTGCAAAGGACTGATACCCTCATCAGTTTCTTGTGTCACTTTGAATTTTAAGGAAAGAGTAGCTGATAATGTTGCTAACTGTCTTTTTAGCCACTTGAACAAACTCAAAACCTTTTCAAAGTTGACTATTAGTATTCAGGGGGAGCTGATGGGGGACAAAAAGAACACTCTTGAAAGGCTATCACGCAACCAAACATATCTATTTGCATTAAACGTTAATGACTCAAATTCAGGCGACAAGATTTGCAGAGAAGTTGGTTTATCTGCTGATGATTCCTCGTCACTTACACCTGTACTTACCAAAGTTAAGGATGGCTGTGTAACAAAGCTTAGTGTGAGCGTTAACAACCCTGACAGCATCAGTGGAGACTGGGGATCCACTCTCTGTGAGGGTTTGGAAAAAAGTGAGTCTTTAACTACATTGAGTCTGACATTTAACAACAGTTCCTTTTTTAAAAACATAGATGCTCTGTGGGATGCTGTGGCAAAAAACAAGTCATTAACCACACTGAGCCTTACACTCAACAACTGCAATGAGTATGTGATGAGTGAACCCATGACCTGTGGTCTGAGTGATGGTTTGGCAAAAAACTCGTCATTAACTACACTGAGCCTTAACCTCAACGCCTGCAGGGAATTGGGGGCAATGGTGAGCGAAGATCTGAGTGACGGTTTGGCAAAAAACACATCACTAACTACACTGAGTCTTACATTGAACATCCGCAGTAACTTGGATATGGAACATCCCATGTTCTATTATCTGAGTGGTGGGTTGGCAAAAAACACGTCACTAACTATGCTGAGCCTTACACTCAACAACTACTTTAACAGTTTCTGGGACGGATACATGATCTCTGATCTGAGTGAAGGGTTGACAAAAAACATGTCATTAACTACACTGATCCTTACACTCAACAACTACAGTGACTTTA